CTTTCAATTTGTTTTCCATCATTTCTGGAACTTTGTTTTTGCCAATGCCTTCAGGGCAGATTAATTTTTATGATGATATACATAATCTTTATGATCTGACAAATGGTTGGGCCAAACAATCTCTTTGATTGTCAAGCACTGATGATCCAAATATCAGAACACAATTTTTTTTTTTTTTTCACTAGGCTGGACTTAGAATGTTTTTCAGGATGCTGAGATATCAAACTAGTTTTGTTGTTGTTGTTAAGTGCTGTTGAGTCAGTTCTGAATCATAGTGACCTTGTATAAGGTATCTGAGGAGCAACTGATGAGCTTGAACAGTCAACTTTGAAGTTCAAACCAACTTTGCAGTCCAGTGCATTAACCCACAGTGCCACACCAGGACTCCAAAACTAACTTTACAAATGACGCTATTACAGTACAAACACAACCCTACTAATTAAATTATATTTGTTTTATTTTTCCTTATCTTAATTATGAGCCAAGATCAGCAGTTCAAAACTACCTGCTGTCCCATGGGAGAAAGAAGAGGCTTTCTGCTCCTGTAAAGATTTACAGCCTCAGAAACCCTATGCTGGATCACTATAAGTTGGAACCGACTCCACGGCATACCACCAGCAGCAACAGCAACTATTATTTCAACATGAACTACAAAATACTGCTAGATAAACTAGCGTATATCATTGAAAATATGATATGATTTCTTTATATTGGTGGGAATTATAAAAATGAGGATAAGAAAGTGAATATAATTAGAATATTTTATGCAAATAGTCATCCATATATATTATGGTGTAATTATGTTTAATGTCAACCTATAAATATACTTTACAAAGTGGTGGTAATGGTAATGTGCCTTTGAGTTGGTTCTGACTTATAATGACCCTATATAGAGTTTCCAAGGCTGTAAATCTTCATGGGAGCAGACAGTTTCATCTTTATCCCACAGAAGAGCTGGTAGAGTTAAACTGCTGACCATGAGGTTAGCAGTCCAACTCGTAACTCACTATGCTTCCAGGATTCCTTTTATAGAGTGGCAGCCATGCCTATAATATATTAGCATGACAAAATACTTTCCATGTATATATTTGAGAAATTCAAATATTTAAGAAGACTTCTTTATTCTAGATCTTGGCTGAAGTTTATTTGATATTTTATCACTTTATCTGTGTGTCTTCGCCTCCTTTACCCCATATTGTTTTGTAAATGATGAAAGCTACACTGAGTAAATGAGAACACTTTTTAAAATTTATTCATTTTTCTCATTTGGTTCACATTTAGTTGTGAAAGTAAAATAAATTGTTCCTGTTAAATAGAATCAGTCTACATCTTCAATTAGGTCAGGGCTTATTGCCATTTAAAATTGACAGAAAAAGAAAAATGAACCAGACTGCAATGCTGGAGAGAGTGCTTTTAGGTCTCCCTAGGAACCCTGGTACTCGGTTTGACCTCAAATATCATCTGCCAAAACTAGTGAATGTTAGGAAGTTCTTGGTTACTGGCTTATGATAAAGAAGGTGGGGGAGAACACATAAACTATGGAATACAAGAATGATCTTGCATTATATTGTAATTTGAGTCACCTTATCTTTAAAGGAATGATCTTGTTGTGAATAATACTAAAATGTATATTCAAAGATAAGTTTTATATGACTAATATAAGGCTAGTCATTCATGGATTTGAAATGATTTAAACATGAGGTCACAACTCTCAATAAGAAATAGAGTAGCATAGAAGTGTGGTTAAGAGCATAAATGATGAAGTAATAAGGTATGGGGTTATATTCTAGCATGAACAGATTGTATTTAGTAGCTGTGTGATTTTTGGCAAGTTTCTTGATCTCTTTAATCCATAATTTCTGGGTTGATATGTAAAACAAGGATGTTAATTTCATATAGAATGTTTTGATAATTAAATTCAATTATTTAAGCAAATAGGTTAGCACATTTCTTGACACCAAGTAGACATTTTGAATATGATTGTTGCTATTTCATTTTCATATTATTTTTAAAATGTAGTTCATTCAAGTGCATACACTGTTTGAAATGATTTATTAATCTGTATATAGAAAACCATGGAGAATGTTATCAAGTATCTAAAGATTCCATGTTAAAACGCAATGTAAAATAATTAATGTTATGTCATTAGTGATTTTTACTTTTCAATATGCACATGTTAATAAATGTGATCATAATTCAGAAATGCAGTCATTGTATTTGGGTTAGACAAATTAACATCATGTTGAAAATTCACACTTTATTTACTGAGAAAAGAGATGTCCCAAAGCAACCACAATTTATGTATGTTATCCAAGATGATATTCCTAAAGAATAATCAAGCAAAACCTAATTTGTGAGTTGTTTTAAAGAAAGAATCATAGTGTGGACATCTTCAAATATGACAGTTTAATAAAGGACACATTTTATTTTTAAATACTTGTTTGTTTGAAAATGTTATGCAATTGTATCCTGCTCATAGACACATAAGACTTTTATTCTGAAGCAGAATATGATAAGAATCATTCTTACACACCATTATTCAAATGATACAGTTTAGGTATCTGTGTGCAAAAACATAATTAGTAGAGCAATTTGGTTTTATCCTTACATATAGGTTGCAAAAGGAATTCTCAATTTACATAGGAAAATTAAATGAACTGTGACAATTTAGCCAATAGAAAATATTACATATCACATTTTTATTACTGTTGGTCTTTGTTTGAAAAAAACAAACAACTATGGTATTGCAATATATATATATATATATAGATAGATAGATAGATAGATAGATTTGTTGTTCTTGTTAAGTGCCGTTGAGTCGGTTCCGACCCATAGCGACCCTGAACAGGGTTTCTGAGGCTGTAAATCTTTATGGGAGCAGAAAGCTTCATCTTTCTCCTGCGGAGTGACTGGTAGTTTCAAACTGCTGACCTTGAGGTTCATAGCCCGATTCGTAACCACTACGCTACCAGAGCTCCTATATATATATAAATTTATATATGGTTTGAAATTGTTAATCCAAGCTTTCAAACCTTATTAAAGATCATTTCATTCTCAAAGTTGTTACCAAGTAGGAAAGTTTCAGTGTTCCTTTAATAGCCTTAAGTTGTTGTTGTTGTTGTTGTTGTTGTTGTTAAGTACCATAGAGTAGGTTCCAACACATAGTGACCCTGTACAGGGTTTCTGAGGCTATAAAACTTTATGGGAGCAGAAAGCCTCATCTTTCTCCCATGAAACAGTTGGTAGTTTCGACCTGCTGACCTTGAGGTTAGCAGCCCGATTCGTAACCACTACGCTACCAGGTAAGTAAGTACTGCCCAGAAAAAAAAGTACTATGAGATGATCTTCAACTTTTCCTTCTGAATGTTTCTTTCTAAAACAATTCCTCAATAAAACTTGCCTTCACAACACAGAAATAAACCAGGTCCACCTTCTTGTGTGGTATTCAATTTTATATTCCTTATCATTTCAATAGCCTGTCTTTAATTTTAATCATGCAAACGGATTGCATTGCAGCAAAAGGGACACTGGAAGAACCAAAACACCCATTAAATGACATGGACTGGCCATTCATGTTTTTTCTTTACCTGGCTAAATTCCACCCTAAGCATCTGCTCTGCTAGAAATTCTCTTGAGAAAAATGCTAAGGAAATTCACCGAAGTTCAGAACCTTTCTATCAGAAGTATTACAGGGAACACCTTTATTGTTTCAGCACCTCCTGCAGAGAATTGGCAATGGTGCTGAAAGGACAGCTCCCAGTGCTGTAAGTATTTACATTAATTGTTGGAAGGAGAACTGCACCCATTGCCTCTCTGCTACAAAACACCCATTCACAAAATCAGAGGAAGGAACCAAAATCAACCCTAATTCCTCCGGAATTTAGTTAGGCTGAAGTTGAAGCACGCCCACCTTTATTTAAGTGTATAATTTATTAGTGGGTGGAGGGCCTCCTGGGAGGGTAGTAGCAGAGAATGAGGGGTGGGGAGGAAAGGGGAGTAAGGGAGGGTTTTATTTTTATTTATAGGAACATTTCCATCAACTTGCCCTTTCCAGTTTTTAATGTGGAGAATTATGGAGTTCAAGGCAAGAGAATGATTCAGGAAATGAAGATAGTACTCTCCAAGCTAGAAATGATCAGAACAATTTATATAAAGTTAAATACTCCTCTTCCTAAGAACCCATCATAATTCAGATTTAAAGACGCCTGTGTTTTCTAGATCATAGCATGCACATCCAAACAGTTTCTTCCAAAGATAACAAAAAAGCATAAATAAATAAATAAAACCCGGTCCGGAGCGTGTTCTTCCTGTCCTCTAAGCTACAGATGAAGGTGGGATAAAAAGCACTCAAACTGTGAAAATGCGAATAGACTTTAAACCCATTGACCAATTCTCTATAGTCCTATGTCTTCCCCTATCCTTCATCATTCGTGACTCTGCAGGACACATTGACTTAGACATACGTGTGGGAGTGTGTATGAGGTAAAGGCGAGACAAGAGTGCGCTCACCACATGGATAACCCTGCAGCTCCCTATTGCACAGCTTGTGTTCATTCATATGTATTCTGTAGATAAATATTTGATCAAAGATTCAATAGTTATCCTGATCAGTTGTATTTTTAATGGACACACCTTAAAATAGGGTGCTCAAAAATTACAAGTGTGAAAAGATGCTAAGTGCAGTCTACACATCTAAACCCTTTCTTTCCTAGACAATCTTCACCCCCATCCCCAAAAGAAGGAATGTTAGCTGCAAATGTTAAAAGGATTTCAGTCTGCAGCTAGAGCGAAGGGGATTAGGGCCAGAGAAGTGCAAGTTAAATTGTGCTGCATATAAAAAATGGGCGGATTGGTCTCCAGACCGAGAGGCTGGTACCACCTTCCTTTCTAAAATAAAATCTCTCTGGCATGAAGTCACCACCTATTTCACATCCGGTTTGCCCTGGGACGTATTACTACTGTCTTGGTAAAGAGAAATCTTTTGTTGTATAGCTGCAGATTTGGATATTGGGGAGCAAATTTGGGTGTGAAATCTTCATCAGAGGAGCACGCAGAGTCCATGATGGCTCAGACTGAGTGAGTGCAAGGCAGTGCGAGGACGCCCCTTCGCTCACTCGCGGCGCGCCTGGACTCGCAGAGTCGCTTCGGCTCCAGGCTCTCCACGATTTCTCTCTCGCAGACTTTTTCCCCTGGTCTTGAGCGATCCTGTGCCCAGAGGGGGCTCGAGGTAAGTACGGTTTTGGACCGCGACACACTGAGCTTTGAACGTGCCTTTTTCTTGCTGGGAAGACTAGGAAGCTGTAGGGGGGTGGGGGGAAGAGAAAGAGGGAGCAGGGCAAGAGGCTGATCCCAGAGCAGGTAGACACAACGAATGTTTTTCTTTCTGGGTGAAAACCGCAGCGATATAAGAGCATTATTTTCTCGCTCTCTCCCTGCTTGTCTTTCTTCCTTTCTTAGGCAGATTTGAATTTAGTCCGCTGGGTGGGCGGTGACATGTTGTTTTGGCCATTTTCAGCAAAGGGGATCTGGGGTGAGGTGGGGAGGGGCTTTGGGGGCATCGCCTAAAGTTAAGACACTGGGACAGATATCCTGCCTCGCTGTTGAATATCCAGGAAGGCACTCTCGCATCCTGGTTGGAAAAAAAAAAAAAGAGCTTCATTTTTCTTTTCCAGTGGACGCTGCTGAAATGCCCTCTGCTGTAGGGGTCTCTCTCATTCTGAACATGAAAAACTCAACTTATTATTTGACATGGGTGGTATGATCTATGGATGTTTGGAGTGTCTCTGTATGTGTCTGTGTGCATGTGTATTTGGAGGTGGAAAGGCGGCAGCTTGGGCTTGCTTTTAAACTATTATGTTTGTATTTGCAAGAAACTTTCTTACTCAACAACTGGAGTGCCATCATAGGTTTGTTTTTCTCTTTTTTTTAAATGTCACAGAGGGCAAATAGGTATGTTGCTTGCCATGGGGTTTTGTTTTGTTTTGCTTACTTCCTCTGGAATATCCCCTTTTATAAAGACCAACAAAATTAAAAGGGTTAAGAGGAGTTGTGAGTTTTTTCATAAAAGATGTTGAGGATTAATACAAATGTCAATTATAATTGTGTATAAAATAGATAAATATTTTAAATAAAGATACTTACTCAGGATTTCTTGTCAGTTTCAACTCATCTGTGTCAAAACCAGTCACTAATTTAAGTAAAAGCTATGATGAAACTCACAGTTCTTATCTCTAGATCATTTCACTCTAAACATATTAATTATGTTTTATGCTTACATGGTTGCTTATGATGTTTTTTTATTAATTTAAATTATCCCCAAGATTGTGGAAAACATTTGTGTAGATGTATTTAAAGACACACTACATTGAACTCTCCTTACGGGATTAAAAGATATGCAATCATTAACCACTATCCCTACTAAGACCTACAGACTCAGAGATGTGCTAACAAATTCTTTAACATTTCTCATGTTTGAAGTAGAATTAACTATAACACATTTTTTAAAAGGTTACCAGATTTCTTTCTTAACTATGTAGTGAATTGGATTTCAAAAATTGATGCCACAAATTTATTTCAAATTATTTTCTTTTTATATTTCCTAATCCCTATTCCTCCTTTCCTCCAGCAGCCCACTATCAAGTCTAAATTCAACAATCAGATGGTGATTGATTGTACTTTATCTAAGAGGCAAAAAGATGCTCTTATTCATACAAAGCAAGCACTCTAGCTTCCATCTGTTTGAAATGAAACATTCTCTAGCAGTAACCTGGCAAAATTTGAGAAGGCTTAAAAGGTATAAGTAGGCATGTTCGTGTGCATGTACTTCTGTGTGAGACAAAATCAGCACATGGTTTGACTACAAAGTGGGTCCTTTAGCCTCACAGAAGCTTTAGTGAGCATATTTAATAGGCAATCACAAGCAGAGGTTACAGGCAGGACTTTGGCATTCAACAGTGTGTTTCTCAGGTTTTTAAAAAGAGATGAATACAGTTGCTTGTAAAATCAAGAACTATCCAGAAATGAAAGATGGATTCTACCATCAAAGACTGTTAACCTACCCTATCCCACCCCCAAACATGCTTTTCCTGTGATAGACACCATTTTTTTTTTTTTAATGCAATGCACTATTTAGTCATGGGAACTCAAATCAGAGAAGTCAAAAATTTCAGATTATAGACAGAACAGAGATATTCAAACTACACCTAAAATATAAAATCTAAAGCAAAACAACTCACAATTTTTATGTTGAAGAATATTCTCCTCTGAAAGCATTTCAACTTGTATTCTTTTACAGGAGAAATTAATACACTGATGTATTTCTGAATGGAGTAATGGAAGGCAGAATAGAGAATGGATGGTCTAGGTTTCCATTGCTTCCAATGAGGTGTCATATCCCAGTGAGGTCATTTCCTGACTTCAAAGCATTCATCTGAACTGCCTCAGTCAGCCTAGTGATTATAGCCTGATGTTTCTTGCAAGAGACATTGATCTCCACTTGTTCTACTTTTCAGCTGCACAAGCTCAAGATGAAGAAAAGTCCAGGTGTCTCTGGCTATCTTTGGGCCTGGACCCTCCTTTTGATCACATTGACTGGAAGAAGGTGGGGACACTTTATTTTAAATCTGCATGAGAATTTCTGTAACTTTTCCTTTTTTTTTTTACCATCAGGGGAATGAAAATTGCCCTTGGATGAATTCATGACTAAGGGAATTAAAGGAATTCAGAAAACTTATCTGCAATAAAATTCCAGCTAAAATCAAAGGAGAATAGTATGAAAAAAAATATTAATCTAATTTGCATGGCATGTTAGTTAGAACACACTTAATAAGACTTTGTTAAGGAATGTGTTATTTCAACATTTAAATCTTAAATTGAACTTTTCACTGTTCAGCTTCCATGGAACAAATCATATGATTTCCTAATTCATAGAAAGTTATCCCAATTAACACCTATCTCCATTAAAGTAAATTTTCCAACAAGGAAATTTCTATTCAGTTGTAAAGATCTTAGGGTAAGTTGTAACCTCTCAAAAGTGCTAAATTTAAAATAATATTTATAATTCAAATGTCACAAATTTCTGTAAATGAATGTTCATATTATGCTTTGAGAGCATTATTTATATAATCAAATAGTGGTGGAGCCTGTGAGACAAAATTGTGTGAGCAATAGGTAAGTCCAAACTTCTGTACTTAAATGCAATTATTATGGTTACAAGTTATAATAAAAGTCTAACAATTAGCTTAACTACATTAAAAATATTTGTCAAACATATAAAAACATATTAAGAATTCTAAAATGGCCATTTTTTTTATTCTTCTTTTATGCGCTTTTGAATTTCTTTTGAAACTCAGTCTTGTGGCCCATTAGAAAGTCTAAGACATATTTTTAAACACTAAGATGCTTTTAAAATGAAGTAGAAAGTTAATCCTTATGAATTGTGACAGAGAAATTGAGTAAGTGGGAAAGACATATGAGTCTAGAGTTTATTAAACTGAAAAGTTATATGTTTGGTGGGGGTTATTTTTGCTGTTGTGTATGGTAAACACTGTCTTATAAATAAACAGAATATGCATTATTGTAAAATACTCTTAATCTGAGGAGTTAATTGTTCTTCACTCCATTTGAAAAATTATCTGAAGTGTTACTATTGTAATGACCTGTAGATGGAGTTAGTGCACAGTGTTTTATTATACAGTGCTTCATATGGAATCAAAATCAGGTGCTGTAACTGACATTTTTTCTTTAAATTGTATACTCACTTTAGGAACCCCTTTATTGGCATGAGTGTTTAATACCAAATGGATAATTTTGACCCAATTCCTAGGTTTCTTCTCTGGAAATTACAACTGGACATGATAAAAAACCAGAAATAATGATAAAGAGCATAATTAGAAAGTCAAATAAAAGAAAGATCACCATTCCACCTAACATAGCTATAATTGTTGTCTTGGGGAAAGGAATAATATTTATTGATATTTGTTTTTCAATGCAAATGCTTGATGTAAGCAACATTTAAAAGATAACAACCAAGTAGAAAATGATTATCTGTGTTTGACTGAAACTCTAAAAACATAGAGATTACAGGTAAAAGTAATAGGCAACTCCACATCTACAGATCTTATGAACAAATTAATTATGTTCTGTCATATCACTGAACTCACCTTTGCTTTTTTTTCACTTTGTTGCTTTTTTTCCTTAGAGCACTTGATCAGGTTTTCCCTATAACTTAAGGTGTGCTAGCATTTCTTTTCCTCCCATATCAAGATGACCTTCCAATACCCTTGAAAAATGCATGCATAGCAGTTGGTTTTGTAACAATGAGTTTTTATAAATAATTGCATTCACGAAACTATTTCAGCCTTACAGCTGTCATCTGCGAATAACACAACCTTGAAGATACAAAGTTCATAGAAAATGTGATGTTAAAAAATAGCAAGATGTTTAATTTTCCAAAAGAAAGTAAACTCTTAGACTGCATTCTTAATGCTGAGCTTAGAGGGTTAAAAAATTATTTTCTGCATTTCATATATTAATTTCATTGATAATTTATAGTTATAACATTATTATATTTAAAAAATTAACACTAAATGGTTATTTCATTTTGCTGACACAAAAGTACTTAGGAAGCAGTGTTTGATTTTTAAAAATTATTGGATTGTGTTTTTCACTCCTGTAAAATAGTTTCAAATGTTATATTTTTCAGTAATGCAAGTGTACAAGAGTGAAGCCAACACATACTAAATGGATGGTTTAAAAGTGATGTGTTTGTGTCAGCTTCTCATTTACACTCTATATTCAGTCATGAAATATAATGAAATATTTCAAGAAAGTGATCCATCCTAAGACAGAAAATTTTTCTTTCAAAGGATTTGGAGATGTCATACTAATTGTTACATAAACTATGATTCAACAAGCATAAGGAATATAAAATATTTGAACTGATGTAATTATATGGTAGAAGTTAATTGAATAGAAATGGTAAGGGATCCAAGCTGTGTCTTCAACTAGTAATGATCAAATAGAAACAATTAATCGATTGTATGAAAATAGACATCATGCTTTAGACTAAGAGCTGAGAAAAACTTGGTTCTAGTTTGAGCTACGCTCAGATAACTGTGTCACCTTGAACAAACATTAAGACTGTACTAGAGCTTGATGCAAATATAATTTGAGAGTATTACAGTATATATTTCCCAAGGTTTTCTGTACTTCCTGAGACCAGAAATAATACAACTTCAGCTAATTATAGATTGGAATAAATAAATCATAATAATTGGTTTATAAATCTCGAGGAGGATGAAGATATGTACACAGATGGAGAAATGTAATTATCCTAAGAAACCAGTCATATCATTTTCCCACATTAATATCATATATATATCAAATACAGCAAAACACAGATGTAAATAAAGGAGTTGAAAGTAGACATATCGATAGGTAAAACCTTTGGCTTTTACTATATGTTAGACAAAATGAAAATAAAATTATTAATTATTCTGGAAACTTTTATTAATATAAAAATACATGCTGTCTTTTTAAATTTGGAAAGAAGTTTCTCTCATTTATTTTCCTCTCATGCACTAAGTTTCTTGTTCTAAAGAAGGTGTGAATTATAGCATGATATGCTGGGAACGCGAAACTGAGAGAGCCAAGTACATTTCCTACAAATTTCTTGCCATGCTTATAAAAATTAAAGAGCTTACAATCTATGAAAATAAATATGGGGAAATAGTAATAGTTAAAATGTGACATTTTTGATTCCTCAGAAGAAAATTTCAAATTAAGATTCAATAGACAGAAAAATAGGAAAATCAGAAAAATATTTGATCTGGACAGACATTTTATTAGAATGTTATAATTTAGTGATCACTAACCTTTATTTTATAATTATTTTAAGCTCTGGACAACCGTCACTACAAGATGAACTTAAAGATAATACAACTGTCTTCACAAGGATTTTGGACCGACTCCTAGATGGTTATGACAACCGCCTGAGACCAGGATTGGGAGGTGGGTCTTCCCAGTGTGTTTTTAATTTAAAGAATAGCATTAAATTTTTACTATCAGAGAGGAGTTTTCCCTCCAAACATAAAAGTACTTTAAGTGGTAGCAAGCACAATGTCTTCTATATAATGAACTGATAATACAGAAAAAAAAAAAAAAATGGGGATAATATTCCTCTTTCGGAGTCCTGCTTTGGTGCTGTGGGATAACTCACTGGACTGCAAGGTCAGTTTGAATCACAAGGACAGCGGTTCAAATTCATCAGCCACTCCTTAGAAACCCTGTAAGTTGGAACCGACTGAATGGTACTTAACAACAATAACATTCCCCTTTCCAGCTCAAAGACAGCATATACTTCATTCAGCACTGCTATGTTTGCACTGAGGTCAAATAGGATCTCTAATTCTACTGCTCAAAATATTTACTATAGAATATTAAGTATTCTAAGTATTAGAGTATTGTTGTTAAGTGCTATCAAGTCAGTTTTGACTGATGTTGTTGGTGTACTGATAGCGACCCCTATATGGTCAAAATCAGTGTTTTCTGGAATCAGAAATTAAGAAGAAAAAAAAAAAAATCACAAAACAACTTTGTGGTTGGTAAGTGACATTGAGTTGGTTCTGAATCACAGCCACCCTGTGTAGGGTTTCTGAGGAGTGGCTGGTGCTTGTGAGCTGAAGTACTTGTTCAAACCAACCTTGCTATCCTGTGATTATCCTACATGCCACACCAGGACTCTAGAAATATTGGAATGGAAGGTAATTCTTTGGGTTTTCTTTTTAATCATGTATTTGCACCTACATAGTCAGTTTAAATTTCTGATATATCAAATAGTTACACTGATTAAATTCTATTTAGGAAGAAAACTATGCATAATGATACAATATTTATAATTTTGTAGTAATTTGTCCAAAGTATTGTACACTTATTTGAATAACACTTGAAGAACATTGTGTTTGACTAAACAAAAACTAATATAGCCCAAACAAATTATTGATATTAGAATAAAACAAATAAAGGAAGAAAATAAATTATTTTTCTGTCACAAAGAAAGTCAAGGTTAGAATATGTGATTCCAAACTTTACCATATGCCTTTCCTTTTCCAAATCATTGATGTTGTTATTCTTGCTAAGTGCTGTTCCCAGAAATGGCTGGTGGGTTTGAACTTCCGAACTTGCTAATTGTTTAGTGCCACACCATGACTCCAAATCATTAATAACAAATGATTAATAACAATATTTGACAGCAATGAAATAGCACAATTAAGAAAGTCATATCTTCTTTACCTTCAATCTCAGATATACATATCTAAGATGTTTAAGAATTCAAAATTTGAATTTCTAGTCAAATTATAACACAGATTTGAGTCACATTTTTTAAAATTTTAATTACACTTTTCTTAATATAATCTAATGAGTGTGCTTCTCATGGATCTGTTCTGAGGATATTATACTGACACAATAGCTACAGCAATGGAATCAATACCAATAATTACTAAGATCGTGCAAGGCCTGCATAAGTAAAGATGTCATGAGTCGGATCAATTAGCAACTAAAAGTAAGCAAAATACCAGCAAATGGCATAAATATCACAGAGACTTTAAGTGGTACTACCTTGCTAATGTCACAATTCAACTATAGGTCAAAGATATTCTTTCTCATTTTAGGATGTGCTATATAAATTCCTTTTGATTTGTGTTCCACTCAATCTTTATTTGCTAATTTATTAGGGAAAAAATATTTTGGTTAAAATAAATTGCTCAGAAAATGGGAAGGCTGATACATCAATATAATGAAAAATCAGTCTAGTGATATGTCCACACAATGTCTCTGTACTCCTAAATATCTGAATTAGCTCCAGGAAAAATATTTTAGATTCCTAAAAATTGAAACAAACTTCAAAGTTTGCAGATGGAGGAGGAATTTATAAAGGGAAGACACAGTCAAGGTAATACAACTTTTAAAAGGTAAGGTTATTACACTTACTGATGGGAATTTTCTTATTCTTTTATTGATCCTCATTTTTGATTCATGATATATCAATACCTACAAAATCTGCAGCATTTTATAACACATCTAAAAATCTGGCTTTCATCCTAATTTAAGAAATTCTTTCTACTATTTTTGCCTGCAAATATGAACATCCTCTGAATTGTTTTTTATATAATTTTCATTTTTTAATGAGTTTTACACATGTAAACACACACTTTCTTTGAAGGTCAGCTCAGAGAGCAAATAACATGCCCATGACTGTTCTTTTTATTAAATTGTGCATATTGTCTGGAGTTCTGGTGTGGCGCTTCAGAATAATGCACTGGACTGCAAGCCAGTTTGAACGACAAGATTGGCAATTCAAACCCACCAGCTGCAACTTAGAAACCCTAGACAGGGTTGCTATGAGTCTGAACCAACTCTATGGCACTTAACACCAGCTTTGTATATTTAATAAATATACTAAGCAAGTATAGTCTAAGCAAGAAACATTTATATATATACCTAGACTATGAAGATACATGAATCTGCTGGATTTTTATATACACTGAGAATGCCCTAAAAAATAAAATTTCAAAACTTAGGATAGTAGTAGAATTATTAAGAAAAATAACTATACTAATTCATACTTTAATATTATAATTTTCTAAAATCACTTTTATTATCTAATTAATCCCAGAAATAACTAAAAAGGACATGTGCTTAAGGACCAGAAATAAGTTTGTCAAATATAGACAAGGTGTCTTTTTAATGGAAATTGACATAACACACTAAAGAAATGGATAATGCAAGGACTCTGGAGCACTGAAAGAAGGAATGCACTTTAATCTTGTTTAAAGATATAAGTTCTGGCCATATAGGACAAGCACAGATCCAACTGCAAGGTTGGTGGTTTAAACCCATGAGCTGCTCCTCAAAAACTGTACACACGGCCACTATGATTCAGAACTGACTCAATGGCAGTTACCAACAATAAAAATGTTTTGTGTTCCCCCCCCCCCCTTTATTTCTGGTTCCAGAAATCACTGATTTTGAGAACACATTGATTAATGACATTTGTGGTGGCTGTTGTGTGCCATCAGGTCAGTTCCAACTCTGTCAACCCTGTGTAGTGTTTCTGAGGCTGTGAATCTTTATGAAAGCAGAAAGTCTCATTTTTCTCCAGAGGAGTGACTGGTAGATTTGAAATGCTAACCAGCTCATAATCTGATACTATATAAGGCCTCTTTGATAACTGACATTAAAACACATGAAAAAAATTAGTTCATATCAGTCCTTTTATTTTTTTTTTAAATGTATAATGAATATGTTGTATGACTCAATGTTACTGCTTTAAGATTTATGAAAACATTAATACTGATTAAACTTATTTTTTATATATATTTGTAGAGTGTATTTTTTAGCTTTAAGCAATATGTTTGTGCTTACTATAGATAACCTATAAAGCCAATGACACCTTTTAAGTACAATTTCAAAGAGTTTCCTATCATTAAAAAAGTATAACTTAAATAATATTATGTATTTTAAAACAAAATCAGCTACAAAATTTGTGGAAAATATTAACACCTTGATTTCTGGCTGCTATAGATTAAAACGATCTAGTATATTTCTTCAACAGAAATACAGGAATTTATATTATTTACCAAAGTATAGCACCATAGTATAATCACTGGACCTCAAGTTCAGTTTTAAATGCAAGGCTGGTTGTTCAAACAGCGTCTCCTCTGAAACCCTAAATAGGGGTCTCTATGAGTCAGAATAGAGTTACAACCATAACAACAATATGTACACTATATTACCGCATTACAACAGTAACAACAATATATAGAATATATTTCTGTAGGTTCCTTTTGTTTTGCCTGAGTCATTTCCTTTAAGATGTAAAGAAGACATTTTAAAAATTATAATTAGTTTATAAGGGGTAAACTTTTCTTCTTCACCACATAGCCGAAGCTAGGGTAATCTCCTCTTGCAGATGAAACACTTTACTTTCTTCTTTTTCATGACACAAATATAGTTTTATAAAAATAACAATACAGAAGATAAAGGTATTTTGTTCTGAATGTGTTCAGTAATACAGAAATAAGATTATCTGAGACTTGAAAATAATGAAAGAAATTCTTGTATGTGCAAATTCATTATGACCTGCTTTTCAGAAACCTACACTGCAACAGAAGGTATCGTATTACTCTTTGGAGATATACACCTTGGATATAATAACTAAGACACATAAAATATATAACTGGTGACCCAGATGATAGAAACCAGTTTGCAGATATTGTAACACACTGTTTAAAAAGAATATCTTTTCAGGGTCAAGAGCAGTTTTGAGGAAGTAAAAAAGCCCTAGAGTGGATTTTTAAAAAATAGTGTTGATAAAAGGATTAGAATGTGTGGAATGTTTATAATTTAATATACCTTTTTAAGAATATAAACAGAAAAATAAATTGACCGTATTTATATATTGAGTATATAGAAAATGCAGAAAACTTTAAATGGAATTGAAATAATTGGTAGTCAAAAAAAAATAACAAAATTGTAATTTCTGAAATCTATCTCATTATTTTCTCTTTCTTTTGGGGCAAAATGCTAAGATCTCCATCTTCCTTTGCAAACAGGCATAGCAGTGTCTTTGAAAAGCTCTTGGGTAAAGCATAGAATAAAATAACAAAATTGTTAAGGAAAAAAGAGGACAAAAGAGAGAAAGACAAAAAGGAAATAAAAGGAATGAAAGAATGGAGAGCAAGAAGAAGACAGAAAATATGGAGAGAAACTAGAGATGAATGAGAGATGGAGAAGGTAAAGGAGAAAAACAGACAGAAAGTGGGCTGGAAAGAAAGGTGCATTATGTGGCACAGGCATCTCTTGTTTAATCACGCTTCCTCTTAGTTTCAAATCAGTACCAAAAATAATTCTCCTAGAAAAATGTATCTTCCCAAGTTTTCTTATTGACAGGGAGTATAATACTAAACAAACTTGGATTTCTCTCCTGTTTCCTTAGAAATTATTTGATA